AGCAAGAAAATGTTGTGTGAATGCAAGAATTTCACACTGGAGGGAAAAGAAACAGATTTGTGAAAGCATCTGATGAAAAGATTTCCATAATACAAGTATTTTACAAAATAGCATAAAGTATATACAATGACTAACAAGTTAAACATTGCTAATTATTTCACCAGTGACAGGTGAAATAAAAAAAAACATGCATGCAATAAAACACATACCATAAAAGGGAAAATAAATTGACAAAATATAGTGAAAAAAGGGAAGGGAGATGAGGGGGATATTCGCCTCCTGTCTTTTTAAATAAAATATTAAAATGTCAAAACATTTTTTTAGAAAAGCTACAATAAGCCCAAATTTTAGAAGACAGGAGGCTTCATATTTACATTTTAATGCTATGACAGGAGAGTGAAAGAGGAAAGTAAGAGTAGGCAAAATGTATGGAATGCTGATTTATGGTAGAAGTCTGCTGAGGTGAGGCCAAAATATCAGAAAGATTATCTACGAAATCAAAAGCAGCAGAGGCTGCTGAGCGTGAAACTCAAAGTGTCCCAAAACAGCAATTGATACAAGCTGAAGCCAATATTCATAACATGAAAGATCACAGAAAACGTGTAGGCTCTGGAAGCAGGCCATGGCTTGGCTGTGAGGATTTGGAAGCCACCTGAAGTAGTGTTGCACCTGATGATTCTTTCTGGATGAGACAAAATCCAATGTTGGAGGACCCTAGTGTAGATTTTTAAGAACTAACATCTTTAATTCTCTTGCCACTGGTGTAACTCCAGTGATTGGATGCTGAAACTAATCTGCCTAAAAGTTGTTGAGTCTAGGAACATATTTCACTCAGAGAGATTTTGTCCATGACAAAGTAGTACAGATCCTTGGTCAACCACATCAACAGTGATAGATGTACTGGGCTACGAATATATTGTTTATCTGAAGAAAGAGGCAGCAGTCAAAAAGGTCCTTGATGAAGTAATGGATCGCAAATTCTCCTGCAATGAGCTCCAGATCTTATTCCTCAGGAGTCCAGGGTGCCCTACTAGACATACCTTTGCAGGTCTCACACCATCCCATACTGCTGGCAACTGACTCTACTACAAAGTCTGTTTTGGAGACGAAAATTGCTTTGCAATTCCAGGCTTCCATATTGCAATGCCACCAGTGGAGCTCCAATCAAACTTGGTTGGACAGGGGAATCAGTAGATCACATTAAGCTGATCAATAAAGGTACATAGCTTTGAGCTTTTGCATTAGTTGATAGTGCAGGGGCCCTGGAAAAATGACAGAAAGCATTGAATACACGAGGCATGAGAGTAGACAAATGCCTGTGCCCAGGTCCCAGTCCAGGACATAACCTTCAAAATTAAAGCAACAAGTATACAGGAAAGTACAGAAAAACAGATGTGAGGAAGGCTGATGTTAATGGACCGCAAGTCTCTTTTCAGTCTATGCATCTATTTAAGTGTACACTGAACAGCCTCAACATTAAAAACCACTGACAGGTGAAGTGATGATATCTTTATCATAGCAGTACTCAGTCTGCAGTGGCAAGCAAAGAGCTAGTAAAGATGTTCAATGACTAGTGCAGCAGGGGCTCACGCAGCAGGGCCAAAGCAAGATGCTAGTAAGGCAAATCAAGAACTGCAAAGTATATAATTGCCTGAGACAGGGGCTCACTCTTATCGTACAACATGTGGAGTGTGAATCTCAAAATTAATCTATAGGTGCCTGTGACAGATGCTCACCTTCATAATGTAAGTGCCTGTGACAGGGGCTCACCCTGATAGCAAACACCATAAAAACAGCAGTTAAATTGGAGTTAAGGTGAACGGACAAAATAATAGGATCACACAAAATGAATGAGTATGTAACAGAAAGGTAGGAGCAAGCTAGAGGAATAAAAAAACAAACAAAAAAACTCTACTGGTATAAGAGAAAAGGAAAGAAGACCAATGATAAGGGGAAAACTGCCCAGTACTGAGAGACATGACAATGTTTTCGAAAAGAAAAGGCACCAAACCATGACACATAAAGACTCTTGCAGTAGTGTGAGATTTGCTCCACAGACTTGTGGAAAAATGGCACTCTATCTCAGCAAGCAGAGAAGAAGGGACAGAAAACAAAATGATACATAGCAAAAAACAAAACAAAAAACAAGCTCAAACAATCCACGCATCCTACAAAGGTTAAACAGAGCAGTGTAGCAAGTACGTAATCCAGTACAAAGGGGAAATAACATGGACAGCAAGAAGGAAAAATTATTACATAGTAAATAGAAAATAAGGGGGATCAAAGTAGAAGAGTGTGTGGGGGGGGAAGAGCAGATTGGGTGAAACAAGCGCAAAACACAAAGGAAAAAAAAATCCAAAATACGTTAAGGACTCCATGCTGAAACAGACCACCTGTAAGGCAGCCGCAATGAGGGTGTGGATGGGACAATTTATGGCCCATTTTTTCTTGTTTATTAACCCTTCTTTTTATTGCTGGTAGGTTCCGTAAAGAGAGTAAATCAAATATGAAGCCTTCTGTCTTGTTATAAAATTCAATTTACAGATTCATTGACAACAAAGCTTTGCATTTCCTACAATAATCTTCACTAGGATATGCCAAAGTCTAATTTATTGATATCATCATTTCAATCATGAATCTCTTATACTGCAGTTTCTTTTTTATTACAAGATTATTTAAGACATAATATTAAGTGCCATGAATATTTTATTTAGTTGTTCTGACAAAGCACAAAAATGTGCACATACTAATGAAATTAATAACCAACCATAAAATAAAAAAGAACATGCTCTCAAAAGGTCTTTTAAAATGAAATTAATACCCTACTATAAAAATCTAAAAGAACTATGCTTTAAAAGGAGACACTTTTAAATACAATTTATTTGAGACAAAATTTTTCTCACATTGTGCCATTCATGTAGGTTGATTTGTATACATAACAGAATTAAACTTGAGGCAGAGTAACACATACAGTCTAAGTCAGATATCAAATGTCTGAATGAATTTTTATTCAACATCCATGACTTGACTCCATACAACAATACAGGAAGTTTATCAATGGAATAGCTGACCTACAGGGGAATTTTGAGATCATGTGTAAACCTTTATTCTTTCTTTTAAATGATGTTCCAAGCTTGTTTGATTACCTTTTATTTTTTTCTGCTAGAGTGAATTCTAAATAATTGCTGTACTTGCTCCATTCTAGAAATTTCAAACAAAAATTCCCTTACCTGGTATACAGCCACCATGTCTCTTCATCTTCCATGCAGTCGCATCACTTTCCACCTATAAAATACCCAATCTCCTACAAGCTTGCAGGAACAGATTATAGTAATCAGAAGGTCTTGATGGTAAGGTATGTCTTTTTGCTGATGATAGAAAGATATGCAACTCTGTTGATGTTCCAGGAGGGATAAGCCAAACAGCAAATGATTTAGGAAAGCTAGAAAAATGGTCAGAGTTGTGGCAACTGACATTTAATGTGGATAAGTGCAAGATCATGCACTTATAGGAAGAGTATAGAGTATTTGATACAGTACTAACCTCAACATCTGAGAAAGGGGATTTAGGTGTGATTATTTCAGATGACTAAAAAGGTAGGCAGACAATGTAATAGAGGCGAAAGAAATGGTAGCAGAATGCTTAGTTGTATAGGGAGAGGTATCAGCATTCAGAAAAGGGTAACAAAACTGGTTCATGGATTGCAGGGTAAAAATTACCAGGAAAAGTTAAAGGATCTTAAAATGTATAGCTTGGAGGAAAGACGAGACAGAGGGGATACAATAGAAACATTTAAATACATTAAGGGTATCAACACAGTAAAGGAGGAGACTATATTTAAAAGAGCAAAAACTACCACAAAAAGAGGACATAGTCTTAAATTAGAGGTTCAAAGTTTTAAAAATAATATCAGGAAGTATTGCTTTACTGAGAGGGTAGTGAATGCGTGGAATAGCCTTCCAGCTGAAGTGATAGAGGTTAACAGTGAGGGAGTTTAAGCATGCGTGGGATAGGCATAAGGCTATCCTAGATATAAGAATAGGCTAGGAACTGATAAAAGTATTTAGAGAATTGGGCAGACTAGATGGGCCGAATGGTTCTTATCTATATTCTATGTTTCTATGTAACAGTGTCCTAATTCACCTGTACAAGTGCTGTATGTATGCTGTACAAAATTATGTCACAAAATGTCACATATTTTCTTCAGTCTGTAAACCTATTTGTTGATCTTCACGAGATTCCATGTCATTCTTAATGCTTCCACAACGATTCTGATGACAGACAGTGCAGACTTACATTGTTTATTGATGCAATAACTTTGCTCACAGTGTTGCCATCATGGAATCATTCACTAATTTTTCCTCAAATCGTACATGCGGTTTTGTGCCGCCATTCTGATGTTGGTTAATAGCATCATATTTTATTCACATTATTCACATTAGATATGTGTGTTTGGATTGAGAAAGTCACATGACTTTCTTTGTCTGAGAATTCTGGAATGTGGTTCTAAACCAAGAGGAATCGTATGAATGTTCTTATTTGATTGATGTAACTACAGAAAGAAAGGTTTTGTCATATACATCCTTTATTTAACGGGAGTGTTGGCCGTAGGTTTTAGGAAGAACTACTCTGATTTTAAGGACAAAGACTATCTCTTCTTTCTGAGTCCAACAATTAAGATCGGTTGTTGAATATCCATCATTTTGTAATATTCTTTGTTGTTTTCTTATGAAATAATTGTAAGCAGAATAAACCTAAATAAAAAATGTCTGATGTGTACTGATGTTGTAACTGACAAACAGGGGACTTTTAAAATGTATGTATATTAACATCACGGCGAGCCACCCAACATCAAGAGGAGGAATATATATATATATATATATATATATATATATATATATATATATATATAAAACAAGAGGGGGTTGGCTGCACTCACCTTAACATGCATAAATGGGGGTGCTGCTGGGGGCCAAATAATACAATACACAAGATCCAGCGCACTCACCTATCCACTAAACAGCAACTTCAAAGTTGAAAGATTCTTTCAACTTTGAAGTTGCTGTTTAGTGGATAGGTGAGTGCGCTGGATCTTGTGTATTATATATATATATATTAAGAAAGTGCTTTTCTACATGAGCCATTTGTGGTTTTATAAGTACATCGCTTGTATGATTTGGTTATGAAATGGTTTTGAACAGTTAGGTAAATTATGTACCCTGGTTTCGGTTATCCACACCCCAGCTAACTAATCCGGATTGCCAGTGTTCTCTAACCTAAGACCTGGCTTGTCTTTAGACTACAATTTTCACTGCTATTTCAATTTACTTGCATTAAACCGGCCATCTCAAGGAACCATATTATGTCTGCTATATTTCCCTTATGGTTTTATCTTTGGTAACTTAGGAAACTGACCAGTACTTTTCCGAGAGATCAAGGCGATTTAAAAAAGTATTTAATTTAAAGTACATTTAAACATACTGGCGCTTCAAATAAAATGTATGATACTCATAACAGTAGAATGAGATACAACATCTGCAATGTAGTATTGGAATAATAACGCATTCAGGGTAGCTGTTATTGTTAATTGAAATAATCTTAGAAATATCAATAGTTTTGAAATGCTTTTTAGCTCTCTTCTAAAGTAGATTAATTGATTTTCAGTGCTACTTAATCTACTGATTGATGACATTTGCAAAATCTTGCTCTTTTTCAAAATATGGAATATTTCTTTAAACGACACATGACAGCTGTGCACTACATTCACTAATTTACATTACAACACAATTTGCATTGTTCATAAGTTTGCCATAGGAAACTATAAAGGAACAGTCTGTGTTGATAAAGGAATGTAATAAAATGATCCAGGCACAACTTCCGCAATCACAATGTAGGCCAAAATCAGTATATAAATGAAAAAAAAAAAAAAAAGGGTGGGGACTGAGGGGGGAGATAAATGCAAACTATGCGCCTTGCATCATCATCTCCACAAATCTGCAATCATTAGTGTAAACTGGCTCTCATTTTCAGCTTTTCCCTTCAATGGAAGATATCTCTGAAAAATGCTTATGGTTAATATTTTTGTGCTCATTAGAGTTCTTTTTTGACACCTGGTGAATTGAAATATAGTCATTTTAAAGCTAAATAACATTTTATATAAGTACAAGTTTCCTTTTAAAATCAGAATGGATACATCCTTTAAATCTATTGGTGCTGATGGCTCATGAATGCATATTTAATATTTGTTTTCCACTTCTGACACACTTTAAACATGAGAGCTGAGAACCAAAAAAATCTGAATTTGTTCACACAGAAAGTAAAATATAGGTTAGTTGATAGTCAAGTATATGTGTACATGGCTAATTATGCATGCATGTATGGCTGGCTAGTTAGATGTATATGCGCATATATTCATTTTTCCTGGCCATATCCATGGCAGCACAACAATGGGTAGCTCCTCCCTATCCCTAACCAGACAGGAACCTAATTAAAACAGAAGGTATAAGTAACCCCTCCTACCCCTCCCACCCTCAGTCTTTTTGTTCCTGTCCTATCCCTAGGACAGATTTAGTCATTCTAAGACTAGAGAATTTTTTCTTTTTGGCTTACCTGAGGGTTGTTACCTTCTCCCTCAAGGGAGTTCAGCCTCTCTCCCTTGGGCAGTCTCCAGTACACAGCCCTGTGCAAAGGTGACCCCCTGGAGAGACCTCTTTAGTGACCGGGGTTCTAACTTGCTGTGACCCTAGGAGTAGCAAGATCATGCCATCACCATGATTCCTGCAGTGACCAAGAGGTAGCAGGCTGGGCATGCACATACAGAGCATATGGCTTTACTTGCGGTGACCCTAGGGGTAGCAAGATTATGCCATCATCCTTTCTCCTGCAGTGACCAAGGGGTAGCAGGCCGGACATGCACATGGATTGCAAGGATTCTATGAGATTAACTAACATTCCATCGCTGAAAGAGTTAATGTGAGACTGGCTAGCATTCCATCGCTGAAAGGGTTAAAGTACAACTCTGTTATCCTGTACTTTGCCATGGATTTACTTGCTGTGAACCTAGGGGTAGCAAGATTATGCCATCATCCTATTTCCTGCAGTGACCAAGGAGTAGCAGGCCGGACATGCACATACAGACCACGTGGGTTGCTAGGATTCTATGAGATTAACTAACATTTCATCACTGAAAGAGTTAATGTGAGACAGACTAGCATTCCATCGTGAAAGGGTTAAAGTACAACTCACTATCTTGTACTTTCCCATGGATTTACTTGCTGTGACCCTAGAGGTAGTATGATTTTGCCATCAGCCTATTTCCTGCAGTGACCAAGGAGTAGCAGGCTGGGCAGGCACATACAGAGCAAATATGTGAATATAACCCCTTCTACCCTTCATCGGGTTCATCTAAATGGTAAGAGATTCCTGCTAATCTGAATTTCTATCAAACTTATTCCTAGGCTTCTGTGTCTTATTCCTAGGGCTCTGTGTCTTTTAATATATCCACTGGATTACTTATTCCTAGGCCTCTGCTGGGCCTTTTAATATAATTCATTTATTCCTAGGCCACGGGCCTTTTAATATAGCCACTGGAGTCACTTATTCCTAGGCTTCTGTGTCTTTTAATATATTCACTGGATTACTTATTCCTAGGCCTCTGCTGGGCCTTTTAATATAATTCATTTATTCCTAGGCCACGGGCCTTTTAATATAGCCACTGGAGTCACTTATTCCTAGGCTTCTGTGTCTTTTAATATATTCACTGGATTACTTATTCCTAGGCCTCTGCTGGGCCTTTTAATATAATTCATTTATTCCTAGGCCACGGGCCTTTTAATATAGCCACTGGAGTCACTTATTCCTAGGCTTCTGTGTCTTTTAATATATTCACTGGATTACTTATTCCTAGGCCTCTGCTGGGCCTTTTAATATAATTCATTTATTCCTAGGCCACGGGCCTTTTAATATAGCCACTGGAGTCACTTATTCCTAGGCTTCTGTGTCTTTTAATATATTCACTGGATTACTTATTCCTAGGCCTCTGCTGGGCCTTTTAATATAGCAGCTGGATTAATTTATTCCTAGGCTTCTGTGTTTTAATATAGCCACTGGAGTCACTTATTCCTAGGTTTCTGTGTTTTTAATAGAGCCAGTGGAGTCACCTATTCCTAGGCTTCTGTATCTTTTAATATAGCCACTGGATTACTTATTCCTAGGTCTCTGCTGGGCCGTTTAAAATAGCAGCTGGATTAATTTATTCCTAGGCCTCTGTGTCTTTTAATATAGCCACTGGATTACTTATCCCTAGGCCTCTGTTGGGATTTTTAACTGGAGTCACTTATATATAGGCTCCTGTGTCTTACTCCTAAGCCTCTGTATCTTTTAATATAGCCACTGGAGTCACTTTTCCCTAGGCATTTGTTATGCCTTTTAATATAGCAGCAAGCTTTTTCCTAGGCCTCTGAGTGTGGTGAGATAGCTCAGTGGGCTAATATTTCCATCAACAGAATCTGTTTGTCACTTGGGGCTCACCGGTTCAATTCCATGCAGGGCTGACTCAGTCCTTAATGTAAATAAAATGTGTGCCATTAAATTGGGTAAAAGTAACATCCCTATGATATAGTTAGAAACCAGAAAATATTTGAATGTCTCTTTCCTGGTTCAAGACTTTGCAATAATTGTTTCTAGTGCCTTTTAATACAGCTGCTGTGTTAACTTATTTTACGTGCTTTTTAATTTCGTTATTATATGCCTCTATGTTGGTTTTATGTATTCACTAAATATATTATCCTATTTCTATGTCTCTGTAATTGGTAATAGGCTATTCACTGTTCTGTTCCTTTATCTCAGCCTTTCGACTTGTTTTATTATAAGTCCCTAAGTTTCCATTCTTACTTTTGGGCCCATTCAGTTTTATGTCCTCTGCGTTTAATCCCAGAGAATACTCAGGTGCTAGTCTAATGGTCGCGCCATGCCATTACCACGCATGCTCGGAAATCTGATTTGCTCGTGCGTATTCTAAAATGTAAGTCCGGTTGCAGGGGTCATATTGGCTTCCCCTTTTCAGCACAATTTTTTCCTATAGGTGTTTTCCTATATAAAGTAATTAGATTTGTGTGCAGTTTTCATCTTAATTTGAAATCTTCTTTTTCTTTATTGAAGGTATATTACTTATTTTTCTGTATCTATCAATCTCTACTTGTTTAGCAGAGATTTTCTTTATTAAGGATAAAAAGAAATCTTATGCAGTTATGGATTCAGATCCCTCTGCTCCCAGAAAAAAGGTCACACTCTAAGAGACATAGGTAAGCCATTCTATTTTTTCTGTCATTACTAAACAAAAGAGTGCCTATCAATAATTGGAATTCCCTATGATGATGGCTCTACGGGAAGAAAATAATCCGGATCATACAAGGGAAGTCACACTAAAGAATTGTTTGTGAGGCATATCATAAGAGATCCTTGTAAAAGTAAAGTCTCCGCACAGACTGTCTGAAAGTGGCTACAGGCCCATCTACTCATACCCCGTGTATTACGCAATATTAACAGGAGGTATCTCAAGACGTCATAGAAGCTGTTAAAGCTTGGATCCTCTGGACAATTCCCAGAATGAATACTCTTAGGAATCCTGGGGGATGGATCCATTCAGAGATATGGAATCATCGGGTGAGGATATTCAGCCTATTTCAGTAGTTCCAGAATCTGCTCATTTGATTTCCAGAGTCCTTTTACCTCTAGCCTTCATTTTCGGATGTCAGAGGGTGTAGAGTATCTTTTCCAGTTCCGGGTCCCCTTAAGATCCTTAATGGAGGAATGGTTCTACACTGAGAGAGGTTTTCCACACAAGGGAGTTTCTCAGTCTTCATCCATTGGAATTTCAGACACTAGTACCTGGGACTCTGCTCCTAAGTAGTAGATGCGGTCCTTAGACTAGCTAAATGTTCCTCTCTGCCTGTAAACAATGCGGGATCTCTCTGAAACTCCATGGAGTATACATAGTGCTGCTCCTCTCTAAAGCCTATGTGGCAGCTGGCACAGGCTTTCATCTTGCTGTAAGGTTTTACCTCAATCTCTAAGGATCTAAAATT